TTCACAACAGGTATGCAAGAATGGTTCACCAAAAGAGAAACAATCAATATAATTCATTATACTAACAAAATAAATAAGAAGAACCATATGATCTTAGCAATTGATACAGAAAAGGCATTTGACAAAATCCAACAATGCTTTCTGATAAAGACACTCAGCAAAATTGGAATAGAAGGGAATTTCCTCAACATAGTGAAAAATATATATGCAAAACCAAGAGCCAAAATCATTCTCAATAGAGAAACACTAAAAACATTTCCCTTGCAAAAAGGGACCAGCTAAGGATGTCCACTGTCACCACTTCTTTTCAATATTGTATTGGAAGTGCTTGCTAGGCAATATGACAAGAGAAGGAAATAAAAGGCATCCAGTCTCTCTATACAGATGATATGTTAGTATACATAGAAAACCCCAAAGACTCAACAAAAAAATTGTTAGGGTTAATAGGCCAGTAGAGTGGCATGATATAAGATCAATATCCAAAAAATCAATAGGATTCCTCTACAGTAACAAAGAGAACTCAGAGAAGGAAATAAAGAAAGCAACACCATTTACAATAGCCAACCACAAATTGAGATACTTAGGAGTGAATACAAGAGACCTATACAAAGAAAACTATAGAGCATTTCTGAAAGACACAATAAAAGACCTAAAGAAATAGAAAAATGTGCTTTGTTTATAGATAGGAAAACTCAATATAGTGACAATGACAATCCTACCAAAAGCAATCTAAATGTTCAATGCAATCCCAACCCAGAAATCAAATTCATTTTTCAAAAAGACTGACAGGGAAATTGGAAAATTTATTTAGAGAAACAAAACACTTTTGAGAAACAAAAATGAGTTTGGAGGCATAACACTCCCTGAACTCAAAACCTCCTATACACAGCAGTGGTAACAAAAACAGCATGGTACTGGTAGAATGATAGACACATAGACCAATGGAACAGAATTGAGAACCCAGAAATAGACCCAGCTATCTATGGCCAACTGATATTTGACAAGGAAATCAAAGCTATCAAATGGGTAAATGATAACCTCTTCAACAAATAGTGCTGAGAAAGCTGGACTTCCACCTGCAGAAAGCTGAAACAGGATCCACATCTCACCCTATACACAAAAATCAATTCAAAGTGAATCAGAGACCTGGGTGTAAAGCCCAAAATCATAAAGTTCATAAGAGAAAAACTGGAATCACGCTTAGAAGCTCTAGTCCAATGTGTATACAAATTGCCAAATACAACCAGAAATGCACAATCTAAAGAGGATAAGATTGATACGTGGGACATTCTATAATTATATTTTATTAATTTTCATAAACATTTACAGAGATTTTGGGCTTCCACTCATTCATTGTTGCACTATTCT